TACCTGTGCGCCGCTGCGGCGCACGCGCGGGGCCCTCCGCTGGCGGCCCACGGAGGACAATGGGAACCCACTGTTACCTTCCCGGCGCCACCCTCGGGGGGGCGGGGAGTGGGCTCTCCGAAGAGAAGCCGCCACGGCACAAAAAAACGGTCCCTGGGCACAAAAGAAGGGCCACGGGGCGCTGGGCTCACAGAGGGAGCCCGGAGTGCTGCCACCTACCCCCCGGTGCCCGGGGACAATGGGACTCCGCCCGCACCCCCGCCGCTCGTGCCAAGCCTCGGGTCCCCGTCTCTAGCGGTGTCAGGCTCGGACGCAGGGCGGCTGGGCGGGCGACGCGCGGGGATGGCAGAGCCACCTGATGGCGACTCCCGCGTCCCTCGGGGCCCGTTCTCCCCGGCTCCGCCGGGGCCCGTTCCCGGGAGACGGCGAGCGGGCGGGGCGAGGCGGAGCGGGGTCGGGGCGGGGGAGGGGGGTCGCCTTCTGACAGTTGCGAACTCGCTCCCCTCGCAGCTGCCTCCAAAACCCGGAGAGCGGATTGAACGCCCGGGAGACGCCCGGGGCTCCGGGACTCCGCTCGGGGGGCGCGGGGGGGCTCCGATCGGGGGGGGGCGGGGAGGACGCCGTAGAAGCGCAGACGCAGCAGGTTTTTCCTGGGAGGCGTTTCACCCCACCCCCTCGGGTCGAGGAAGGAGATTTACCTAAAGCTGCGGAAGCGGGTGGCGGCCGCCCCAGACGCGCGAGGGCGGAGGCGCGCGGGGCGCAGCTGCTGTCCCCGAGCGTGAAATTCTGCCAGCGGCGACACCTGCGCCCGTCGGTCATTCCCGCCACGACCCGCTGCGCGCCCCGCCCCCTCGCCCCGGGCCCGAGCATGAGCCCGGGGAATTCGTGGGTCGTTTTCTGCCTGAGCTTCCCTGCTTCGCTCCCTGGTGGGAGACAGGAAAAGGGTGGTGTTTTCCGGGCTGTGAGGTCCTAGCTGGCACGGTTAGCCTGGGGAGGGGGCTGGGACACCCACCCCCACCCCCTTCTAGCAGCTCCGGTCGTGCACTCGGGGCCGGATCCCCAGCCCTGGGACTCTGGGGCTGCATGGAAATCCTGGCACAAAGCATCCAAGAGACCTTGGCTTTGCAGAGGTAGTATCAGCTTCAGGTCTTCAAGGAGACGTCTTCAGGTCTGTTTGGAATTTTCGAGGGTGCACCTTGAGCCCAAGTTGTAAACCACGGTCTGTGTTCAAGTGAAGTTGAAAAGGAAGCGGACGCGACTGTTGTGGAAAGCAGAATACTAAGGTGGAGTGTTAAAAGCCTCAAGGAAAATAATAGTTGGCAGGTCAAACAGCCATGAGGTCGGAAGTCAAATAAGAAACTCTGCTGAAGTGATGCTAGAAATTTGACAAGCAAAACAGCCCTTGAAGATAAGAAACCCGGCTTTGTTTCCTTTTTTCCCCCAATGACAACGGCTCCGAAGTTTCCTTTGGCAGATACCTGAGTGCCTCCTCCAGATTCCTGAAAGTTTTACTTGGAGCTCATATTTCAAAATATATGTTCCATTTGGCACTAATGTATATATTTATGAATTTTTTGAAAAATATTAAATGTTACTTGACATACTTTAAAGGTATTTTATAAACATCTGTGCATGTCTTTCATTACATATGGTAAAAGTACAAAGATGTGTGTGTACTGTATATTTATAAATTACCATATGAAAGATTCCTTTTGCACACATACAAACATTCCTTACACATATGTCATATGTATTTTTTAATTTTCTCTATTGTTAGCTGCTGTTAAAAGCACTTTATTTCCACATAACTAAGTAAATACCTTCTTTTACAGTTTCTGCAAGCAGAGTGGCAGGTTGTTGGAGATAGCAATTTTATTCCAAACCCTTGTTTAAACTCTTCCAAACTACTGCAGGAAGGCTTACCTCCCTCTGATCTTTTTAAAATAATACTTTACCTCTGTGCTGTAAACAATTTATCAGAACCTACCCCTTCAGGGGCTAGTGGTGCTGGTCTGACATATCCTGGCATTTTTTTTTTTTTTACACCCAGTGTTGTTTATTTCAGGGAGGAAAAATGTCCTCATAGAGTGAATTTTCCTTCCAAATGAACACTTTTCTTATACTTACTGAAATAGGTTTGGACTTGATGAATTTACATGTCAATATGTTAGGAGCTCTCCTAACTAGAAGAAAGAGGAAAGTTTTGCTTTAGGAAGATTTTAGGAGTGCTGAGATTTTGCTCTGAATTTAGGAAAGGTTTATAGCCTTGAAAATTTGGTGGTAACCTTAGAGGACTTAGTGGTGATTAGTATTTGTAGACATCTGTCATGGCCAACAGTAAATACTTTTCTATCAGTCCTTACTCAGGAGAACAGCTGAGTGTTGGCAGTGTCCCGGTGCCGAGAAACTAGTCTACCTGGGCAAAGAACACAGGAGCAGTGTACACAAGTGCAGACTATAACTTTCTCTTGCTGCTGAGTGTGGCCTACCCCAGGTATACTCCATTGGAATCTTCATTTCATGAAAGATAAATGGTTTGTGTGCCCACTTAACGTTCAGGCAGCCCAGGTTTATGCTTCTCCGCCTTTTGAGTCACCAGTTGATTGTAATGTTGCACATGAACCCTTGGGAAAGCATAGAGAATCATAGAAGTTGTCTCTGAACAAGGGTTCCCTTGAAAACCAAATTATTGATGGCAAGGAAATCCTGGATTAAACTTCCAGTCACCAAGCAACAAGAGGAATTTGTGGAATATTCTTAGGAAGCCAGTTGAGCCTTGCAATAGAAAGGAGTAATGAAGGGTAATTTGGGCAGGTGGAATGTATAGGAAAATGACCCAGGAGGAAAAATACCAGGTATCTATTTTCACATGTGTTAACATGAAGTTGAATGAGAAGATTGTAGTTTTTCATAGCAGGCTTTCCTGGCAATTCCTTATTACTTCCTAACACTCCAAAAAATTTTTTTTTTGTTTTGAAGTCAATTGGGGAATCCCAATGGGGGAACACAAGAACTCTATCACATGAGGTTTCACATGAGACCTCATGTCCTACCACTTACCCAGTCTCATCTTCCCCACATCAGGCTGTTACCTGGCCCACTCTAGCACAGTCTGCTATCATCTGTGTGGGACACTTCCCTAACTCACCAAAGGCTCCTTTCTCCATTCATTATGGACTTGATTCAAAGAGCACCAAGGGAGAGGCTTTCTCCCCCCTGAAATAACAACCCCACCTAAATTCCCTTTCCCTAAATAAAGCAGAAAGAATTAATTTCTTCATGACCTGCCATGACATCGTATTTATTTGTAACCCACTCCTAATCTGTTTTCTATAATGTATCCACTTGAAGTTCTTTTGTAGCTCCTGTACCTAAGAGAGGGTCTGGCACATGGCAAGTACTCACATATTTATTGAATAAATAATCCCTTAACTACAACCAGCAACGAGTGTAAAAGCCTTGTTTACAAACCCCATAGCTAGAGATTGATATTATATTAAACATTCCTGGGATATACCACATGGATGCTGAGACTGAAATTTCAATCACTTCTTTTTAGTCTAACTGAACATGAAATACAAAACACATGGAACATTTTAAGTTTTAAAAATTCAAACATTTTAAAGGAAGGCTTACAAAAAAAATGTCTTTATAGTCCATGTATAATGCATAACTATTTTTCTTCTGGTAAAGCTGAAACATATTCTTGTGTGCTCAGCTGGGGTTTTCCTCAAAAATACCACATTTAGGCTGCACTCAAGTGTGTATGTTCATGATTATCCCCCTAAGTTAGAGTTAAGAAAAAAAATGTAAGAGCAACTGGAAGGTTATTTGTTTGTTGGTCCTTGTGATAGAACCCAGGACTTTACACATGCTAGACACAAGCTTTACCACTGAACCTCGTCCCAGCCTGGTTAAAACATTAAAAGCAAGAGGGATTCTCTTAGATTGAGTATCCCACTCTTGGTTACCCAATTAGAATTTCACCCATGGGAGAAATTATGCTAGCTTTAGCTAATGAATTTAGCTAATGAATTGCCAAATGCTGAAGTATTTTCTAACCAGTGATTTCCTTGTAAATAAAGGAGCTCCAATCACAACTTGGTTAGGAGAGTTCAGTTTCACCTAATCAAATACAACAGGAAATGGCATTAGAGGAGACTTAGCATGCATTCTGCAGGCCTACTTCTAAGTTCTATAGTTCTAAGCAAGTCAGAGAGTCACTCACTATAGCCACCAAATCCTAGGACATTTTTTTAAAAATTTAGTTCCTGACTTCAGGGCAGCAACAATATGATTTATGGATAAGCCCTTCAAATATAGACATAATTGATTATAAATAGAAACCAGTGATTAATGAAAAGCATTACTTGAGATTTAAATGAATTTTAAAGTCCTTTTTACATTTGTTGGTTATTCGTTTGTGTTGGATAGGTAAACCATTATTGTTAACACTTTTGCTTTGATGAAAGACAGAAAAGTCTTAATACCAGATCTCAAAAGTGTATCTTCATATCTATTTTCCTGCCATGTAGGGACTGCCTTGCTCATCTCTGTGTCTTTAGCATCTGGCACACTTCCTATAATAGAATCTCTGACACAAATAAGTGTTGGATAAAGGAAGCATCTCCTAGGAAGCCTAGGAGAAAGGATGGTACTTAAAGCTGAGATAAAAAAGAGCACAGTGGAGCACAAAGCACAGGATGAAGTATGGCTATGGAATCTGTAAATATCTAGATTCTCTGGCAGATGGAAAGGTCTGAAAAATGTTAAATGGTAGTAAAAGTACAGGACAAATTCTCTCACTTCGAGGATGGGATCATAGAAAGGCTTGTACAACAGGTATATGGACATGCTTCAAAAGTATAAATGTGAGACACAA